AGATGAATCACAGAGCATGGAGGGATGAGGGTCTCCTTCATATCACTGTATGTATGCTACTGGGCAGGAAGTAAATATGAAACTGGTTCTTATACCTCTGGGAACCCCAGGGGACTGACAAAGCCAGTGAGTAAACCTTCAAATCATATGGGAGCTTGGCCAAGTCTTCCACGTGGTTCTTCCACGTGTGCCTCCGGAATCTTGGGAGATTTTCCCAGACTGCATTAACTTGGAGAGCCCCACTTGTACCTGATACTCGGGGCCCAGGACATGCCCTGTCCCGACTAGATGGTCCTTGCAAAGGGACCTGCCTACCTGAACAAGATCCACTGGCCCTGTTCTGAAACATACTATGGGTGAAGTAGTGGGCTGGGAATTTACACACACACTATGTCCTAAACTGCTAATTACATGACATTAAAGTAAGTACTTGATTTTCTGTCTCTCTATCCCCTTGGAGCTGGAGAGGATGCCTGATTCTTTTGTTGTCCTATAGAACTCTGGGAATAATGAAAGGGGGAGTGAAGCCCCTTGCACACTGGCAGGACAAAGCTGTACAAAGCGGTGGTGGCCCTTACTTTCTACTCCCAGTGATAAGGGCCTGACAGGTGATTGATGGTGGTGATTCAAAATAAGAGTCCTTGTCCCATGGACCCAGGTTTTTGTTTTGTTTTGTTTTTAGCAAAAGGACACTCTGAGGTCAAAGCTCACAGAGAAGAGGAAATGATTTGTTTCCATTCTATGTCTGCCTCCCATTATCAGCTGTAGGCTGGTTCTGCTTGATGCCCATATTCACCTCTTGGCTGATTCCAAACTCAGACTCAGGAAAGGGAGCAATAGACGCTCCCTTGACCACAACCTTTGTCCCATCTACAGGCTGTGGTGATCAACTTCCCTTCTACATTCTTGGAGACTGAGGTCTTTCCTTGATCTTGGCCAGTCCATTGCCTACTTGCCCAGAACATTCCCAGGACTTAAGATATTTCTCCACTCATCATCTTACTCAGAGGCATTGCCTGGGGCTCTGTGAGAGACCCCAGCAAGCTGAAGAGGAAGAGGAATGTAGGTATCCAAGTCTAGGACAACACCTAGACTAACAGAGGACACAGATCCTTGGCTCACAGCAGTGCACGCCCCAGAGAAGGCTGCCTATTCCGTGTCAGAAGTGGCCGGTCTTTGTGAGAAAGGCTGGCCTGCAAAGAGTCCTAGCACAAGACAAAAATAGTGGGCTATGTCCTCCATAGCCCTAGAGTTATATGCTCTGTAAACTGAAAGTTTCAGAGAACCTTTGAAGTAGCCTGCAAAGGGGGCCAGGGCCAGGGAAAGAGACAATGGTGAGAAGCTACAGAAATAGAAATTAAATCAAACTGATTAGCCCTCCTAGATGCCTAGCAAGTTGGCCTCGGGTTAATCTTTAGGCTCCTGGATCCCATCACAGCCCAAGACCCCTGTCAGGTGTTTCTAGGTCTCTTATCCCTGTACCCTTATGAGATTCTCTGAGCAATGTGCAGGCTCTATTGCCTTCTCCATTCAGATTGGACTCAGGGAAAAGGAAGGCTCAAAAGGCAAAGTTAGGGGTTGCTTCCATCTCCTAAAACACACCTAGAGATGCCTCACAAGATCTCACAGTATCCATATCCAACACAGCCCAGGGATTCACACTTGCAAGTGCTTCTGTATTCACAGCCTCTCAACCATAGCATACCCCTCCTGGCTGTTCTCCAGCCACATCTCTGACATGAATATAGCCCACCTTCCTAGCCTGTGAGGAGCAGAAGCACCACTGAGCTCTCTGAGAGTTGCAATCAGAAGGTTCTGGACACAGGAGGTAGGCAAGTGACCTAAAATCAGGCTTATTTCAGCTCTGAATTCATGGAAAGGACTATGGGTCTCCAGAAATGGAAGGGGCCATATATAAGCCTAATAAATACCTTCTGATAAGCAGTCTAACTCACAGAATTAGAATAGAGGATGTAATCTTTGTTCATATTGCCTTTGTAAGCTTTCCAAGTTGTAACTACAATAAAACACACAGGGATTCCCCACCCCCCAAAACAAACCCTTAAAGTCAATGTCGTAAGTTTTAGCCTCCTTCAGCTATTCCCAGTAGCAGGAACCCATGGGACAAATCCAGCTTTGATGGTTAGTTTTATGTCAACTTGACACAAACTAGAGTGAAGAACTCTCAATTGAGAAAAACACCTCTATAAGATTTGCCTGTGGGCAAGTCTGTAGTGCATTATCTTGGTTGATGATTAACATGGGAGGGCCCATCTCACTGCGGGCCATGCCACTTCTAGGCTAGTGGCCTTGAGTGCTATAAGAAAGCCATCTGATCAAGCCAATAATTAGCACTTCTCCATGGCCTTTGCATCAGCTCTTACTTCCAGTTTCTTCCCTTGGTGATGGACTGTGATACGGAACTATATGTTTAAATAAACCCTTTTCTCTCCAACTTACTTTGGTTATGGTTTTGATCACAGTAATAGAAACCATAATCAAGACACCATCTGAGATTTGGTTCCCACTTTACACAACTTAGGGGAGCCCCAGATTCAAAGGCAACAAAGAATGCCAGAGTTCATTGTGTCCATTTTGTCTCTAGACTGGAAGAAACAGCATGGAATGCAGGATGCCAGTATAGCTGACACTGGGGGCAGTGTTACAGTCTGGTCTGGCTGATGCTGACATTGTGCCTTATGGGACATGTGTGGTCTGAGCTGAGTCCAAATGAATTGTAACAAGAGAGCCTGAGCAAAGGAACTTGGGTATCAACCAAATCAAAGAAAACTAATACTGTGCATTAAAAGCTAGCCCGGCCCTTTTTAGACTGACTGGGAGACAGCCCTAGCCCTGTGCAGTTTCTAGCCTCCTTCTCTCTATTCTCAGCTCTGAACTCGCCTCTAACTTGAAAGGGCTAATTAAAGTCAAAAGAAAAAAAAATCAAAAGCTTGTTATCTGGCTCCATTACTCCCAGTCCTGGCATTGGTCTGTCTCACAAAGCTGTACTCCCTCTGTTCTCTCCAAGAATACCATGCAGTGTTAGGGCCTACAGCTCTGCAGGCCTCCGTGGTGAATGTGGCAGGAGCAAGAGCAGGAGAGATATCTGTTCATGCAATCAGGTGGCCCCCTGAAGATGCTATTGCTCCAAATGCAAACGCCTAAACAGCTTTAAGCAAGTTTTCTAGAGAAAGCTGTCAGAGATTGGTAACCCCTCTGATCTCAAAAGAGCTCTCTGTTTAGTCAGCACACATTGCTACCACTGTCATTTTCTAGCATGAGCAATGTGTGCACATAGGTATATAAATGCATTGGTGGAGATATTTATCACATGTATTCAAGTGTTCCAGGGTACTCAAATGTAACATCAAGATTTAACCAAGCAGCTATGGGCTGAAGTTCATCCCCTCCCAAATGCAAACTTAAAGTTGGTTGCATTTTAACAGTAGTAAGAGGTTCCTGGCTAGTGGGACTGGAGAGGAGCTTGGTGGTTAAATCATTTGTTATATAGGCGTGAATTCTGAGTTTAGATCCATGGGAAGGCATGGTGGCCTACCTATAACTCTGACCTTGGAAGACTGAGGCAGGGAAATCTCCTGAGCAAGCTGGCTAGCAAAACAGCCATATTGATTAGCTTCATGTTTGACTGAACGACTCTATCTCAACGAATAAAGAATGATTGAGAATGAGTTCCCATATCAACCCTGGTGCCTACACATACATTGGGTCTACATACTTATGCCCCTCCCCCAAAAAATATAGGAAAAAAAAAAGGAGATAGGATATTTAAGAGATGGTTAGTGAATGGGTTAAATTGTTTTATTTGTTTTTGTTTTTTAAGACAGGGGTTATTTTCTTGGCCTTGGCTGTCCTGGAACTAATTCTGCAAACCAGGCTGGCCTCAAACCCAGAGATTCTCTTGCCTCTGCCTCCTAGATGCTGGGATTAAAAGTGTGCACCACCACTCCCATCTTGCATTAATTCTTTTATTGTGGGAGTGGGTTAAGGACAAGATCAGTTATCTCTTTCTCTCTTTCCCTTCATCCTCTTGCCATGTTATAATACAGCAGATGGGTCCTCAAACAAATGTAGACACTTGATTATAGACTATGGCAACCTCTAAAACTATGTGAAATAAATTTCTGCTAACAATTGGTGGTCCAGTCTTGGCATTTCACTATAAAAGTATGAGGGTTCTCTAAAGGTCTTCTCTATACTTACCTTCTCCTGTTTCCCCCAACTGACCTATGTTTAAGTGTGCACACACACACAGAGCACAAATATGGCTCATCATTTAGGAACGCTTTAGAGTCCCCTAAGTTTGTAATGGCCCCCACAGACCATCCTGCTAGGTCATCCACTACCCAAAATGAATGGCTCCAGGATTCTTGCCCTTAATTCCCTTCCTGAAAGATTGTAAGCTGTAAGCTAAAACAAACTCTTTTCTCACGAGTTGCTTTTAGCTGTGGTGTTTATCACAGCAACAGAAACTTAGGACAGACTTTTTTTTTCTTTTTTTTGTGTGGCACCATGAACACAAATTTGGTGATCTCTTCCTATACCCCTTTATTTTTATTTGTCATTTATAAAAATATGCATGGGGCTAAAATACTCCCTAATTCTCTGAAATCCAATGTCCACTTCAAATGCAAAATAACTTCACATGTTAACACTTGTTTTTCCTGAATCTTCCATCATTTTATTCTAAGCTGCTCCACCATGCCCAAAAACAAAAACAGAAACAAACAGACAAAAAACCCCATCAACGTTACAAGTTTCCACTAACTCTCAGACGTATTTCTCATAATCAGCAACAAGAAAGAGATCAGAATGAGGTACCAATAGGAAACCTATATTTTACTAAAGATGCTTGGCTGTTGATAGTCCAAATCAATGAGACCAAAGAAGGAGAGCCATAAAAACCCCATGGAGGCTATAAGGCTGGGGTCCTTATCATCCACACCTTACTGTCCGGGCCCACAAGATCCCTCCTTACTCACCGCACTGCTGCAAGGGATGTCCTTCACCTTGAGCCAGGCCAGGTCTAGTGTTCCCTCGCCCCTGTAACAGGACTGCAGGCGCTCCTTAATGCGGTCATTGATCTGCTTCAAGATGAAGATGCACAGGGCAGACTCATCCAGAGATTTCATCTTCCGCTTTTGGCCCTTGGAGAAGACGGTGAAGAGGAGGTCATCATCTGGACGGACTCCCAGGGTCCGGCCAAGCACAGCACCAGCTTTGGACAAGTAGGCAGCCTGTAACAAGCGATACTCCACCCCATTTCGCTCACAGCCAATAGGCACCTCCACATAGGAGTTGAAGGCTGTGTCCTCTTTGCAAAGCCTCACAAGCTTCGATGTGTACACCTGCTCCTTCGTTGTGGAGCCTGGGGGAGACACCATCTCTGGCTGAAGTGTCAAAAAGTAGACAAAGTTGCCACTGCTGAAACCATAGACATAATAGATGTCAAAGTCAGGGATGACTGTGAAGGTGTCTGAAGGGATCTTAATCATAGAGGCCACAAATTCATCATGGAAAACATAAGCAAACATGCCGTCTGCCTCAGAGTTCTTAGTCAGCTTCCGGCTGGAGATGGTAGGAAAATATTCAGGCTTGCCATCCACTGCGGTGGCAATAAAGAGTTTATCATCCAAGTTGTTGTAGGAGACGATCACCCCAAAGACAGAGCCACTCTCATTAACCCCAGAGAGGTAATGTTCCTTCTTATGAAAGGGCTCCCCCAGCTTGAAGAGGTCCTCTAGCCTCAGGAGCTTGCAGATACCCTGGTACAGGCTCCCGCATGCAATCAGCCTGTTTTCTTTGTAGTCTATAAGCAGCATCTTGTTGACATTATTGGTGCTGGCCAGCGGCTCATTGCAGGTCTGAACAATACGAGGTGGGTAACACTTGGGGTTGTCCTCATCTGGCCCTGTCTGATGAGTCACCAAGACCTTGAGGTCACTAGAGAGTTTGTAGATCCTATTGACAGCCCCCAAATAAATGTGCCCTGTCCTTTCATCTACCACGAGGTGATTGAAGCCCTCGGTGGGCTCCCCTCGGAATGTGACAAATGAACGCTTCTGAGACAGCTGGGGTGGCTGCCGTGAAAGCAGGGTGGAGGAACCCATCCCTACCACCAGCAGGTGGGAGAGCAGGCAAGTCCAGTTCCAGGGCATGGCTTTCATATCAGAGACAGGTCCTCTTGACACAGCAGCACTCCTGTAAAACTGTTCTTTTGGAGGTCCAGGACTCAGCAGGGCTGTCTCCCCTGGTAAAGAGAAAAGATCAAAATGTGAGTGAATGAGTGAGGTACCCCAGAAGCAGAAAGACACACAGGGTATTTACTCACTCATAAGTGGATATTAGACATAGAATATAGGATAAACATACTAAAATCTGTACACCTAAAGAAGCTAAGCAAGAAGAAGAACTCTGGCTAAGATGCTCAATCCTCATTCAGAAAGGCAAAGAGGATGGACATCAGAAGAGGGAGAAAACAGGGAATAGAACAGGAGCCTACCAGTAGGCCTCTGAAAGACTCTACCCTGCAGGGTATCAGAACAGATACTGAGGCATAAAGCCAAACTTTGGGCAGAGTGCAGGGAATCTTATGAAAGAAGGGGGAGATGGTAAGACCTGGAGAGGACAGGAACTCCACAAGGAAAGCAACAGAACCAAAAAATCTGGGCACAGGGGTCTTTTCTGAGACTGATACTCCAACCAAGGACCATTCATGGAGATAACCTAGAACCCCTGCACAGATATAGCCCATGGTGGTTCAGTGTCCAAGTGGGTTCCATAGTAATGAGAACAGGGACTGCTTCTGACATGAACTGATTGGCCTGCTCTTTGATTACTTCCCCCTGAGTAGGGAGCAGCCTTACCAGGCCACAGAGGAAAACAATGCAGACAATCCTGATGAGACCTGATAGAGTAGGATCAGAAGGAAGGAGAGGAAAACCTCCCCTATCAGTGGACTGGAGGAGGGGCATGAGTGAAGGGTGAGGAAGGGTGGAATTGGGAGGGGAGGGGGGAGAGAGCTACAGGGGGGATACAAAGTGAATAAACTATGATTAATAAAAATAAAAATGATACAAAAAAAGAAAAAATATGTGAGTGAACTATGGTAGGGCTTTGTGGTGCCTACAGATCTGCCTGAATTCACTACGTACACAAACTGACCTGTCTTGGGAAAGCCAGGTGCCAGCTTAGCTGCAGGAGATGGTTATCTTGGTGATGGCAGCCCTGGTACACCTTTATTGTAATAATTATGGTGATAATGGTGGTAGTGATGAGTAGGATGATAGCAGTGCTGCTGATAAGAAACAATTGCCTACTGAGTATCTGGCTTTGCACCAATCCCTGTCCAATACCTCTTCCAACTGAGCCCCAAGGGGGTCCAAAGTTAGTGATCCTAGTGAGCAGCATCAATGAAAGCTAGAGGGGGAAGGGCATCTGTACTATGCTCTATGTCTCCAGGTTCTGTGGACCATCTCCTGCCCACTTTCTTATGCTTAAGAGATAGTAGCTTTAACCTCATTGTTATTACCTCAAAATACAGCACTACCCCCTAAAGAAAACAATTTTTCACGGAGACTTTTATTAACTTCTGCTCAAAAGACCAAATTTGCACATTTTGTTTCCTGCCAGAACCATAACTGCTGACAACAGAGGGGCGTGGTCATTTTACACCACATTTTACAGCTAAGGAATGTGAGCTTAGGGGACTTTTGCGTCTTGTACCACCAATACTGGGAAAGGTGGCTGAGGCAGTCCATAATAGGTCCTTAACCATCTCATTTCATCCCAGCCTCTCACAGCAAGGGCTAGACTGTATTTCCTGTTACCTACAACAGAATTGTTAAGGCTTACTTCTTTTTGTGGGCAACTCATTACAACTGCTGTTCCATGCCCTTTTTGTCTTTCCCGCCTCCTCTGTCAGATGGTACAGTGAGGTTAAACTGAAAGCCCACATCCTCTACAGTGGTCACCAACCCCCCTGAGTACATTACCCATCTGTGGGTTCTCCTTTCATTTTAATGAGATCTTGGTTGCCTCCTATGGTGAGGACTCCTCTGTCTCCTATAATGGGGACTCCCCTGCCTTCTATGATTTTCTTTGAAAGGAGAAAAAAATGCATTCAGAAATCACTGGTCTGGAAACAAACAAACAAATAAGCTAGAAAACAAATAAATAAATAATCTCTAGGGGACAAAATTGCCATCCATCCTAGCAGTTGCCTTTATTCCTATTCAATATACTTTCTGCATGAGTTTCCAGGGGACATCATGTTGTTTCCAGCTTGGATGAAATAAGGGCTAGTGGAATCGCCAATATCTTATTTAGGGGCACCTCAGCTCTGTAAGATTTCTCATTCCCCCAAGTGCCTAAAGAAATGAGGTTATGAGATGAGAAAAAAAAATGGTAAAGTAATAGAAATCATCCCAGAAGGAAGAAAGCATAGGTTAGCTGGACACCAAGAGAAGATGGAAAAAATAATGAAGACTTTATGTTATCAGCCAAAATCCTAAGAAAAAGCACCTCAACAAGACATTAGAGGAAAAGACTCTCATAGACGGAACCCTACCCTAACAGCAGTCTATAACCCAGGGGCCTTTGTGCACTTACCAACATAGCACATAGTGTCCTCAGAGCATGTGCAACACAGGCAAGATATTGTAGGACTTTTGGGTCAGGGTGTCAACTTAGTGTCAAGTCAGACAAAACCCACTAGAACCTAGCTTATTGCATGAGATGAAGTTGTGTGACATGTGACAACATGCTTTGGGAGTTCTTACTTGAGGAGAGGGAACAAGAAGCAGGCTACTGGAAACCTTGTCAGGGGGTAGAGTGTGAGGCAACCCATGAACTTGGAGAGGCCATGCAAAGCTAGAAGAAAAGTGCCTTCTTGGGATAGTGTCCACAATGGAAGTACCCAACCAGGGTGTGGATGAGGAAGCCTAGGCACAGAGAACACAGCTCAAGAAAGAGTCAGGAAGATGGTATGGCAGAAGAGAGAAAGCTATGAGCCCTGTTGGGATATTACCAAAAAGTCAAGACTAAGATGCACAGAGCTGAGGAAAGAAGACAAATAAGCAAAAAAAGAGAAGTTTCCCAGAGAGGTACCTCCATGCCCCTCTATAAAGCCTTCATCTTCACTTGGAGAAGAGGATTGGTGAGATACGAGAGCTAAATAGGTTCATTCTTAGTCACTAACACATCCATATCACCAGAGCCCTGCCAAGCACCCAGTGGAGGCTCAACAACTATTTCTTGCCTGGCAGAAAGAGGTGCCAGAAGCAGAAAGGACTAGCAGCATGTGTGCAGCACTGACTATACCCCAGACCCCATGCAAGCAAGGTTAATGCTCATTATCACGGATCTCCAGGGAGCAGGATAGCTTGACCTCTTCTTCGGGTGAGGTAGCCAGTTCTTCAAGAATATGTGGCCAGTGAGGCATAGTTAGTGGTGGGATCCAGGTCTGTACCACTGCAAAGTCCATTCATATTTCCAGAAATGCTTCATTCCAGAACCCAGAATATACAGCCCTTGGAGTTTCTATTTAATTCCTCAAAATAACTAGCACAGAGGTACCAGGGTATCACCTACCAAACCCAGGAAGAAATGGAAGTTCCTGTAGCCTTTAGGGCACTACTGGGAGAAGACACCTGTCAGAAGGTATGGTCACACGACAACTCGGAAATTACTGATGAGCACTTGACACAGGAACTCTGTTCATCACACAGTAGGTGCTCTTGCTGTTGTTAATAAATGAAATAAAATTAGAAAGATAAGGATTATGATAAGGGGTTGGTACCTACTAGTTAAAAAAAAAAAAAACATTTTTTTTTCAGGACAAGTAATAAGTTAAGACAGTTCCCCTTGAATTGCGTTTCCAAATCCAGAAAGCAGAGAAGATCCTAGAAATTTATTTTCTGAACGAAAATTTGTTAAATGATATACAAATCCCTGGTTTTAGAGACAATGAAGGTGATATCAAAAGGGGTCAAATGAAATCACAGAAGGTCCCATGGGATAAAAGGTCCCATGAAGGTTAGGGAGATGGCTCAGTTGTTGAAGTGCTTGCCATGCAAACATCAGAACTTGAATTTTTATCCCTAGGAAGCATGTTAAAAAGCCATGCATGCTGGTATATGTTTATAATCCCAGTCCTGGGGAGGGGAAGGCAGACAGATCCCTGGGTCTCCTTGGCCAGCCAGCCTGATAAAATCAGTGAGGTCAAGGCTAGTGAGAGACCTCATCTCAAATAACAAGGTAGACAGCACCTAACGAAAGATAGCAAGGTTGACCTCTAACCTCTACATATACACATTGAAAGGTGTATGTACTAGCACACATATGTATACCCACCTACCCCCACATGCATACACAATCAATCAATTGATTGTCACCGAAATATAAATAAAAGATGGTGGTGAGGGATAACTCAGACAACTGATTCCCCCGTCTATGTTCTTCCTATCACATTTGGCCTCTTCTGACTTTATCTAAACCTGTTCTGACATCTGCTCCCCAGCCTTTGAAAGTGACAGCTATTCAGGCACCATATGCTCTGCTGGCTAACATGGCTCTTACTGCAGCTCTGCCAACAGCCAAATTCCAGAAGGGCTGCTATGCTCACTCCAGACAGGCACAGGCAGGTTGGGGCACAACCACCAGCCCTCCAGAGGGAACTTTCAGCAGACCCTGTATTAGAGCATGCCATGTGCCTGCCACTTGGCCCACCTTACTGTACACTCACAGACCCACAGCTGATCCACAGTTCCACAGTCAGTACCAGGCAAGACAAGGAGGCTATAATCCTGACTTTACTGGGCAGGAAGGGTCCACCGCTCATTCACCATCTTCTATTAGGCACCAAAATGAGACACAGTTAGGCATCTAAACACTTATCACTTTCATCTGGGGTAGTGAAATCACTGTCTGAGGAAGAAGGGACACAGAAACAGTAACACATGATGGGAATGAATGGCCTGTCATTTTTCACCCCAGGGAAAAGACTGATTAGAAAACAAAGAACAGAGAAATGAAGAGGACATGATATGGACAAGCATGTGGATACCAGCTGAACTTACTGTGACTCACTGTGGGCCTGGCCAATGCCAGTTTTCCCACCCCAGCTCAGGACCCACAGATGAGCAGCCACCTCTCACTCAGGATTACTGAAGGTTGTTCTGACCTCATAAATCTGTAAAAATGGAGCTTCCAAAAGGTGGTGGTGTCTCTCCCAGAACATCAACTGATGTA